CCATGTCACGGGTCTGAAAATTGGGGTTGACTGTCACCTTCTAAGTTAGACTTCTTCACCTGGGAAGTGGCAGATATCCAAGGACTAAAAGTCATTTTTTTTCAACCTGAATATCTACTGCATGAAGTATCTGATTCCAAAGTTTTTCTCAGATATACAAAGAAAAACAGGAACATGTTTGAAATAAAACGGCATCTTCACAGAAGGTGCCAGCAAGAGTGCCTCCACAGGGTGGGCCACGACCCTGCGCTTTAGGGGGAATAAAGCTGTGTCAGACCAGAAAGAATCTTTTTTAATGAAGCTCACACTGACACTTGAGACTGTCTAAGGCATATGAGAATCAGGAGCCAAGTAATTGGATGTTTTCATCTTCTAAACAGACTTCGGATCAGTTAAAAAAAAATGCCAGTGGAAAAATCTTTCTTTTTTCCTTCTGGAAAATTACTAGGAGAAGGCTAGGAGGATAGACAGTGGATTCTTACATTAAAGGAGGGTCATTAAAAACCAGCACTTCATCTAGGCTGCCAGAGTCTAGGTGCTCCTTGAGTAAAGAATAGTTTCTGAATCACTCAGGACCCTCCTCACATATGTCTTCAGCCTCATACATTCTCAATAAATATTTATTACATTTTTCAAATGTTTAAAAATTAAAACTTGCACACTTTATTCTCTAAGGATAATCATTGCAGCTTAGGTTGTAAAAGCTGAACACTTTATATGGTTTATGTGTGTCTTCAATTAAGCAGGCATCTATGTCCACTAGCCGAAAGGTGCATTAGGAGAAAGGTCCTGTGGCAGATTTTGAGATATGCAAAGACGAATGCCATCAGTTCTGTCTATAAAGAATTCTCAGTTGAGCTAGGAAGATAGGCTTGATTAAAAATTCATCATACAAAGTGATATGTTCAAATGACCAGTACACCTGAAAAGATGCTCAGCTTTACCACATACCAGGGAAATGAAAATGAAAAACATAATGACACCTCACTCTGAACAGCAAAAGGGCAAAATGAAAACTGTCAGTGTTGATGAAGATGTAGAACCCATGGAAAGTTTATATGTGATGATCTTCGTGGTGTTGGGTGTGGGAGCAAGGGGTGTGGGAGTGAGCAAGGACAGGTAAGTCAGTTCAATATATTGCTTCCCATTGTTATGAAAGCCAAAATAAATAGACATAATGACCAAATGGTTAGAATCCTCTTAGGTACATGCCTTACAGAAAAAGATATGCGTATTCTCCAAAACTATGTAAGAACAACAGAAACTCTGAATATCTTTATCCATTGTAGAATGGACAAATAAATTGTCACAATGAGCAAAGAGTTGGATACTAAAGCTATGTAACATGATACAGCTTAATTTAAAATATAGCATTAAGCAGACAAGTTAGATGCAAAAACATGCACCATGTGATTCCATTTATACAAAGTTCAAAAGGATTCAGTCCAATTAATGCTTCAAAAAGGCAAAATATCTTCGAGCGATTGGAAGAGATTAGTGAATTGAAATGACATTTGAAAGGGCCTTACAGGCACTTCTGGGAGTGGTGGGAGTGTTCTTAATGTGGGTGCTAGTTGTACAGGTGGCTTTTGGCTTATGAAAATTCACTCTCCTGTACACTTGTCATTTGGGCACATTTCTGTGGATATTTCTGAATCATCAAACAATTTAACAAAAAGTTTGATTTACGTAGTGAAAGAGAATTACAAAGAGAGCATTCAAAATCCGTAGAGAAGAGGTCATTGTAACGCCAGACTCTGAGGCTCTAAATCTGGTCCAAACTTTTTACAATAATAGCTATTACTACAGGATAGTGAAAATTTTAAAAAGCCACGATTGACTTCTAGTATTGAAACAGGGAGAAAATAGGATCCCTAGAGGGTTCTTAGTCTTGTTCATAAAAGAATTTCAGAATGGACCCATATGGAAGCTTTTACAATTTTATTAGAATCTTAAAAAAAAATCCTCAGGCAGGCAAGCTGGTAATCTTGGCAGCTGCCTTGAGGAGGTGAATAGTGGGAAGAAGGAAGGAAAGCCACGGAGCCATGCAGGTTTAGAGCCTGCATGGAGGTCAGACACATGGCTGACTCACAGCCACATGGCTGAGAGAAGGAAGCTTTAGAGAAAAAGTGAAGGAATACAAGATGCTAGGGGCAGCCTAAAGCCTTAGAGAAAGCATGCTCAGTAAGAAAGGCATGAAGAAGGAGAAATTACACCTTCCTGAAGAGTTCAGGAAAGCAGACAGACTTCCAGAGTCCTACATGCCTGTGGCTGGTCTGGAAGGTCTTCAGAGATCTGTGCTAGTTCCAGGCAGGAAATATTCGCTACCTCATTAACACATCAGGTATTCTGCCCTTTATTTAGCATACCTTAAGGTGAATCTGCTGTCCGTCCTAAGAGTAGTTCTATCACCAGGTAATTGACCAGTGAGACTGGAAAAGTGGAATTACGGCTGATTGATAGCTGCCGTGTGGGTGCTGGGAATCGAACCTGGGTTTTCTGAAAGAGCAGCCGGTGCTCTTAACTGCTAAGTCATCTCTCCAGCCCCTATTTCTTTTGTTTGGTTGGTTTTGATTTTTAGTTTTTGGAGACAGGGTCTCCCTGTAGCCCCAGCTGGCCTGGAACTCTCAATATAGACCAGGCTGACCTCAATCCCACATAGACCCACTAGACCCCATAGACCCACAATCCATGGCTAGAGAGATAGCTCAGTGGTTAAGAGTGCTTATTGCTCTTGCAGAGGACCCAGGTTCAGTTCCTACTTAAGGTGACCACTCCAGTTTCAGGGGATCCAATACCATCTTCTGATCTCTGTGGGTTCCTGTACTCATAAACAACAACCACACACACACACACACACACACACACACACAAAGTTTTTCAAGGGAGCGGGGCTAGAGAGATGGCTTAGCAGTTACAAGCACTTGCTGATCTTTCAGAGAAGCCAGGCTTGATTCTCAGCACCCACATGGTGGCTCACAATAGCAGTACCTCTAGTTCTAGGAGATCTGGTGCCCTCTTCTGTCCTACACAGCAATAGGCACAAACATGGTACACATAAATACATGGAGACAAAACACTCATACACATAAATTAAAATTAGTAAGTCTTTAAAAGAATATATATATGGGGGAGAGAGAGAGAGAGAGAGAGAGAGAGAGAGAGAGAGAGAGAGAGAGAGAGAGAGA